TCTTTCATAGGTTGTGTCTTTTGAGACAAACATTTTCAACATCTATATATTGATCCCATATGTTTGGATTTAATAATTCAGATATTTCATTTCATTCCATTTCATATTTTATACTTTGCTATGCATAAAATACTTTGTAGAAGTGATTATCTTTTGCATCAAAATCATGGTTATGGTAGAGAGGGAATTCCGTTCGAGTTCGTTAATCGAAATCATTTGGAATGCTCCTATGACTTGACGTGGTCGTTGTATCTTAGGAGATGATTGTCGAAAAATCGTTAGCACCGATGCGGGGCAAATTCATCTTAAGGAAAAAGCTATAATCATCTCGGCCAATCGCATCACTTGCATCTAATTTTCTTTTCTTATTTATGATTTTAATTTCTTCATATTTGATTTTAGGAAATGATTAATTTTATTTATATGGTTTATGTAAGGTTCGATACGAAGAATCACATGTTTTAATTCAAGAATGGAAGTAGTCAGATTCGATAATCATTAGTTAGTTTCTCAAACTCCATTTCGGTAAGTCAAAACCTTGTTTCGATTTTGTGAACGTGTAAGCTACATTTTGTCAATATATACACATTTTGAATCGGTGTATTCCCCAACAATCTTAAGATGAATTTTGTTTTCGTGCATTTATATTTTACATTATTCTGTTTGCATGAACAAAGTATTAAATAGATTGGATGATAAAATCTGATTGCATAAACTCGACACCGATTTATGTTTTATGCTCGATAGGGTTTTGTGCCCAAAAAAAAAACACACTGATGCATACATGAGAAACTATTATGTTATTATATGAATTGTGTCTTAAGTGTCCATGTCATCCATTTGTTTAGTATATGATGAAAGTGAAGTATTATATATTGCACATGTTTGCAATTGTTAATCAATATATATGGTTGTTAATACATGTCTTTCCATAAATTAGTCAAGAGCCATGAAGTTGGTTTATTTTGAAAAAGTGCATGTGGTTTTTAAGGCAATTTATTAAATGATGACTCTTCATTTTATAAATGCATTTTCAAATCCAATTTCGTAATCTATCATCAACTTGATTATCTTATCAAATAATATGACATGTATATTTATTTAAATAGGATCTATATATGTTGGTCACTGATACAACTTCAATGTAACTGGAATAGATGTCAACTAATTATGAAAGTATATTAACTTTCATAACTATTCCTTTTATTGGAATATGGAAAATTACATGGTAAATTAGTTGGCTAATCTCATATCTTGATGAAACTACACTAATTTCAATTGGTGATAATAACCTCAATTAATTTGATGAAATTGAGATGACTTATGCAAAATTATATTTGCATAAGAATATGACAAAATGTAATTTGTCTTAATTTGATTACTTGGAATTGGTGGAAATTATGTAGAATATTATAAAATATTTTAGGATCAATTTAGATGAAAATGTGCGTCCTTTCATTTGAAAAATTATGACTTTTGATATAATTATTTTTCAATGGTTATGTCTTTTCATAGAGATTAATTCAAGAGGTGCGTCCTTTTGTAAGGTTGTGTCTCTTGATAACACAACTTTTCAAACTATGGTTAATTCGTTCATTTAAGTCTGAATATGGTAAATAAGGTGAATACATACCTTATTATTTGATATAAAATGAAACTATCATGTGAAACGTCACAAATGTGATAAGAGAAGTTGCAATTCTTGTGAATCAAGACGTTTAGCCCTCTTCACTGTTGAAATTGACTTCAATCGTAAGACCAATTAAAATTAGTTTATGCTTGGAAAGCATTGCTGGTCTATATGATGGCCTTGATTTAATTTGGATGATCAAATTAAAATAATTGGATTGAAGTACATTGTATACAACTTTAGTTGAAATAAATTGTGAGTCAACGCCCACTATTTTGAAAGTATTTAGACTTTCACGAAGCACTCGATATTATCTAAGAGATAAATGAATAGAACTATAAAAGAGTTGTTGAATACTAAGTTCAAGTATAACCCAAGAATGTAGGGAGTTAAATTTAATGCTTATGAACTTAAAATGGAAAGTTCAAAACTTGTTGATGCAACATTACTAAATTGCATATGTATTCCTAATTGAGGAATTGTAGGTGTAACTCAATTTAACAGTTACGTCTGCTTCTATCTTATAATCAAGAACGATATCTATGAAGGTGGAAAGAGAAAAAACCCTTATACTAATTATAAGGATAATATATACTAAATCTAGAGTAGATGAAATAGGTTGTAAAGTCGATTATGGCGTTTTTTAGACATGCAATAAAAGTTGAAATATATGAAGAATATTCATAAAGTTCAAATGCATGGTAATGTTTCAATGATGATATTGAATACCCATGATTCTGAAATCCACTATTAAAAGTGATTGACTAGTGTAGTATTTGATAAAAATCCTTCAATTTTGTTTGTAAATTGATAAAGCTTTAGATAAAGCTAATGAGGCATATAGCTTCATGAGAGGATTTCTTGGTGGTGACAATTTGTATCTATCAAATGAATTGATCATTGACTAGCAACAATTGATAAGATACTAAGTCACATGTAATTGTAGGTCTAGACATATAAGTCATAAACATAATACCATTAAGCAGATTATCTCAGTAGTGTAAACTCGTGGTACCTTTAAGAGATTTACCGTGAGATTAAGTATACTGCATATCGAAAGGAATGAGATTAAAGCCTACTACGTTAGAGTCCTTGTAATGGTAACCCTACCTTGTTGACTGAAGATCATAAGATCTTGGTTCAAAGAGACAACTAAGTTATGAGGATTCCATGAAGCACTAAGGAAAATCATTTCCTAACTCATTCCTATGACATTAAAGTGCTTTCTACAGAGTTGCAAGTGATTAAGATAATCTTTTAATGATTTCTATATCTTGATTCAGTCAAGTGGAGTGGCAGAATACTCTTAGTAAGAGGTCACCTATGTGAGTGTGAAGTGGGGCTGCTTCAATGATAATTATTTAAGACTTAAATTCTCTAAACACTCGCAGAATCAAGAAGGGTTCAAAGTCAAAATGAACAAAGTCATGAGAACCATGAACGATTTAGAAAAGACATCAAGTGAGTATCGTTGTCTTGGCTTACACTAAAGGCTGAATGTTTCAAGACATCACGTTCACCAATAGCCGAGTAAGTTCGATGGTATTTCACTAAGAGAGGTTCAAGGCCAGAAGCTATCATCCTTGATGCAGTGTTTTTCCGCTCTCTCTACTAGTGTCTGCATAGATATTTGCATTAATTTTCATTTATGTGGGGGATTGTTGGAATTTTGTTGAAAATTTTATATTATTTGGTAAATGAAAAATTAAGTCAAATTTAAATCACTTAAATACGTGAATTATTGGAAAAGTATGTAGAATATTATGGAATATTCTAGAAACTATTTGATTGAATTATATGAAAGATTATGACCTTTTGCATTATCATTTTCCAAGAGACGTGTCTCTTTAAATATAGAGATTAATTCCAATGGTTGTGTCTCTTCCATAAGTTGTATTTTTTGAGACAAACCTTTTCAACATCTATATATTGACCCCATATGTTTGGATTTAATAATTCAGAAATTTCATTCCATTCCATATTTTACACTTTGCTATGCATAAAACACTTTGTAGAAGTGATTATCTTTTGCATCAAAATAATGGTTATGGTAGAGAGGAAATTCCGTTCGAGTTCGTTAGTCGAAATCATTTGGAGTGCTCCTATGACTTGATATGATTGTTGTATTTTGAGAGATGATTGTCGAAAAATCGTTAGCACCAATGCGGGGCAAATTCATCTTAAAGAAAGAGTTATAATCGCATCGGCTAATCGCATCACTTGCATCTAATTTTCTTTTCTTATTTATGATTTTAATTTCTTTATATTTGATTTCAGAAAATAATTAATTTTATTTATATGATTTATACAAGGTTCAATATAAAGAATCACATGTATTAATTCAAAAATGAAAATAGTCAGATTCGATAATCATTGGTTAGTTTCTCAAACTCTATTTCGGTAAATCGAAACCTTATTTCGATTTCGTGAACGTGTAAGTTACGTTTTGTGAATACAATATGCACATTTGAATCGGTGTATTCCTCAACAATTTCTACAAAGGGCTTTTTTTTTTGTATTACTTGTAAATAAATTACATATTTATTTGAATATTTATTAAAGCCCCGTTTGGCCCCTATTTTGTAGAAATGAAAATGAGTGAAATTGTATTTTTTTGAAAAACGAGTAGTTAAAAAAGAAGAATTTTTTTTCGATTTACGTATAACATTATATTATAGAAGATTTTATGGTTGAAAATATGAGAGAGAAATATAAATAAAATGGAATGAAAATTAATGGAGACCAAACGGGGCTAAGTATCTTATAGTTTTTCATAAGTAATATTTATTACATTTCCCATCAAATCTATTAAGATTACTGTTTTAAATAAATTTTCGTGGTATTATTGTTTTATATTTAACAGTTATTTATTTAATTTATACACATTAAGTGTAATTTCTATTATATATTAACACATCAATATGAAATACATCTACCATTTCATACTTAATAATAATAATAATAATAATAATAATAATAATAAAATCATAAAAATTAAGATAAAAACATGACAGCTTGTTTGAGCCCCATTGTTTAGAACAAGAGCATTCTTCTACAATATTTTGATATCATTTCAATCACATTATCAATAAAATAATATTATACGTAAATTCAAAATTTTTCTTTATTTTTTAACCGCACATTTCCCATCAATACACTATTCAAAAATTTATTTTTTCTTCCAAAATGGAACTCAAACAAATATGATATAAACCGTTTAAAATAATCTTTAAATTATACTAATTAACATAATAAGTCATCGATTAATTGAGTGTATGATAATTTGGAAATATTTGGTATTTTAAGAAATGAATAAAGATAATGTTGTTAATTTAGTACTTCCACTAATACAGATTTAATAGAGGATCTCTCTTTGTTCAGCCTTTTGCCCAAACGAAATATGGATGATCTCTCTTTGTTCGGCTTTTTCGTCAAACCAGAATAAAAAATGGAGCGTCTCTCTTTGTTTCCGTCCGAATCAAATATGGAGGATCTCTCTTACGAAAATCTGTCTCGTCTAGTCAAAATCCCAGATCTCCTTTCTCGTTTGCTAGCTTTAAGGCTTGATGGAGGAGAAAAAAATGTTAGCTTTCAATGGCTCGGCCCACACTTTCTAACTTTTCTCAAATATGTAGAAGAATTATTGCGTTGCTTCTATCCAGACTGCTGCAGACCATTTACTATGCACAATCCGTATTGTCTGTTGAAGCGTCTCGATGATTCAGCCTTCGATTGCATCTTATACGAAGCGATCTTTTCTCATCACGATAATGAACATTACAAAATCTTTTTACAAATCATTCTCACTTCCATGCCAAAGCTTAACGAGTTTTTCACGATTCAAACATCCATCACAAATAATTTCAAAGTAAATAAACATTGGGAAATCTTCATCGAGTTTCTTTTTGAAACTATTCGAGAATTGCTTAGTTGCCATAAGGATTCCACCGTTCTTGTGAGTAATCAACTCAAATTTCTTCAGAAGGGGTTGAAATTTCTGCTCACCTTTATTTTTTATCCAATTCCAAGCTATGAGAAAGAACAGAAGAAGAGTATATTCACAGAAATTGAAGCTGTATTTAATGAAGCAGGACTTTTCTTGCATTCTTTCTTTTTCACCACAGATCTTGTTACCACCACCGAAATGGATCTTGCAATTTCTGGTCTGTTAGAAAGGATTGAGATTGTGCTAGTGAAGATTAAATATTACAGTATTTCAGTGTCAAGTGAAGTTGGAATTGGATGCCTACAAGTTGCAGAAAGTCCAACTGAAGTATCATCATCCCAAGATAACAGCAGTCCCATGGTAGAAGAGATCATTGTGAGCTTAGAGGACACGACAACACAAATTGTGAGCAAGCTTGTTGGAGGACCAAACTACCGCCAGATTATTTCCATCGTTGGAATGGGTGGACTTGGCAAGACAACATTAGCAAAGGAAGTATACGATCACTCCAGAGTTCGGTACCATTTTCATAAGCTTTGTTGGTGTGTTGTTTCTCAAACTTATAAAAGGAGAAAGCTGTTGACTGATATTTTGAGTTCTGTAAGTGATCTTAACAGAGACGACATTTCAGAAATAAAAGATGAAGAAGAGTTGGCCGAACTTCTTTACAGAAGTTTAAAGGGTAGAAGATACCTCATTGTTGTGGATGATCTATGGGAGAAAGAATCATGGGATGATTTGAAAAGGTTATTTCCAGATGATAGCAATGGAAGCAGAGTAATGATTACCAGTCGGCTGAAAAATGTGGCATCGGAAATTTCTCATGTTATCATTGAACCTCCTCCCCTTTCACCAGAGGAAAGTTGGAAATTATTAGAGCAGAAGGTGTTCAAAAAAGAATGTTGTCCTCAAGAGCTGCAAGATATTGGAAAGAAAATTGCAGCAAATTGTAAGGGATTACCACTTTCAGTAGTTTTGATAGCTGGAATTCTTTCAAATATGGAGAAAAAAGAAAGCTTATGGCAACAAGTTGCTAAAAGTTTAAGTTCTTACATTTCCCAAAAAGCCGACGACTACATTCCCACATTGAAACTTAGCTACATCCATTTACCAGATCACTTGAAGCCATGTTTCCTCTATCTTAGTGCATTCCAGGAAGACGAGGAAATTCCAGTTCGGAAGCTATTATTACTATGGATAGTCGAAGGATTCATAGAGAAAAGGGAGCAAAAGACCTTAGAAGATGTAGCAGAGGAGTATTTAATGGAACTTATTAACAGGAGCCTACTTCAAGTGTCCAAAAGAAGATCTGACAATGGAGTAAAAGGATGTACTCTTCATGATCTAGTTCTCAATATGTGCAGCAAAATGGTTGTAGAAGATGAAAATTTTCTATTTCAACAGTAAGTTAACTCTCTCTCTTTCTTATTCCTTCTTGTTTTACTTCAGTTTCCATTTTATCCTACTAATCTGTCGTAATTATGTCAATGATGCTGCTATTGCTGATGCTGGTTGATGTGGTTAAACTGACGATGATCCTCATTCTACATCTCTAGTCAATTCTTGGTATCTAACCATCGCCGTCTCCATCACTTGTATATGGGTCAGTTTCATCGCCTCTTGATATCGGAGAATATTTTCGAGGCCTTCTCCATTGCTTATAATTTGGAAAAAATTAGGATCTTTGATTTAAACACTGATGGAAATCTTCTACGGGGAATCAGATTTGTGCCTGACATAAGATACTTGGAATTTTTAAAATTAGAGCCATCAATAGGCAAACTCCATAACCTTGAATATCTTTGTTTGCATCACATAAATGTAGTACCGACATACCTTCTCAATATGCCTAAGTTGAGACATTTAAGGGTCGGTATCTACTTTAAAGGTAGCTACTATGATGGTGCAAGATTCACTAAGAACAGTGATAGCTTCCGAATAAATTGCCTACAAACCCTTGGTCTGGTTCAGATTGCCGATTTGGAAGATGAAGAAATCTTGAGATGTTCGCCTAATCTTCGTATGCTTAAATACAGATCAATGGACAATTACTTTCCTGATCTCAACTTTCTTTCTCAGCTTCAAACACTCACAATTGCTGGAACACTGTTAGGATGTGATTACTCGATGGTTAAATTTCCTATGAATATCAAAAAGCTTACTCTTATTAACCTTGGTTTGCCTTGGGAAGAGATGTCATTAATTGGGACATTGCCCAACCTCGAGATTCTGAAATTAGAAAACGCCTTTTCAGGAAAAAATTGGGATACGAAGGATGAAGAGTTCCGAAAACTCAAATTCCTTCAATTAGATTTTGTACATCTTGAACAGTGGAAATCGTCACACGTTCATTTTCCTGCACTTGAACGATTGGTGTTGCTAGAATGCAAAGTTTTGGAGAAGATTCCTTTTGAATTTAGTTACATTTCAACACTACAGAGGATTGAGTTACTTTATTGTGGTGAAAATGTTGAAACTTCAGCTCTGGAAATTCGTCAAGAACAACGGGATTATGGTAATTCAGAGTTTGATGTGACCATCTATAGCGATTGGTGGTAAAGACAACTTTGTTCTACTGGTGTACACTGTGTAAGTCAAAGCTCATTCCATCATTTTTTTGTTCCTGAAATAAACATTTTTATTATTGATTTTAAAATTTTTAAAATTTCCTTGCAAGAGATTCCTTTACATCCCACACCTCATGATTAGAAAATAATTTCGGGCTCCATGTCAATTGTTAGTTGTTTTTCTTTGTAGTTAGCATGAAGTTATGACTTCTTTATTGTAAGTAAAATAAATAATGATCCGGTTGCAAATTGTACTACATTATGGTTAGTTTGACAAGTGATTGGATCTATATTATGGTCTAAGCTCATCTCACCATTGTCAGTGGAGTCAAACAGCCCTTGATGGTTTCCCACCCATCCAAGTCATTCCATACTGCCCTTGCTTTCAAACAAAGAAATAAGGCATGCATGCTATCCTCCTTCGGATGTTGCATTTAGTGGTTAGTGCATTGTAGAAAATTCTCCACGCTAATATTTTGATTATTGGGACAACATTAAGGCGCCAAACTTGAGATTCTGAAATTAGAGTTCGACGTCTTTGAGGGAAAATCTGGAACACAGGATAATGAGCTCCAAAAGCTAAAATTCCTTGAATTATTGTGTCAGATCTTGGACAATGAGATTCCTTAAATGTCATTTTCATGTACTTGAACGACTGGTGTTGAGATTTTGCAAAAAACTAGAGAAGATTCCTTATGAATTTGCTATATTTAAACACTACAAGAGATTGAGGTATATTATTGCGCAAAAATTTCTAAAGTTCAGCTTTGCCAGTTCGTGAAGAACAATGGGATTACGGCAATGAAGATTTTGAAGTGACCATTTATAAGAGTACAGATTCTTTTTGATAGAATCTCAACAGATTTATGTTTGTCAAGTTTTCATTTGCAGTTGAAAAAGAAAAAAAGAAATCTGCTAATCAGTTCTGTAAAAATTCTGTCAAAAATCTGTCTGTACACTCGATTTTTTCCAAGAGTCTACGTTCTACTGATGTACATAGTATGAGTCAATGCTCATATATTTTTGAAGTTGTAAAATTAGAAGTTAAAAGGTCAAAAGTCTATTGGAGTACTTAAAATTTTTATTCTTTAAATTTATAGATGCTTTATAAATTATAAAATATTCTCTTTAAAAATAGAAAGCCTCTTGAAGGTGCTCAACACATGCTCACATCATTTTCTAAGGTGCAGGAGGCTCTAGGCTTTTTTTGCAAACTAGTTGCCTACTAAAATGCCCAAAAACCATAAGCTGTGGCTGCAGTCGATTGCCCTTGAGAAATGAAACATCTAAAATCCAAGCTCGGACCTAACCCGTGGACAATGAGAATGCAGCGACAAATGAGAATATGGGGGATAGGCTATTCGAGACAGAGGTGCGGGTTGAACAAGCCAGGTCAAGAGAAGCCAATACACAGAACAGCTAGATCACCTGGCTCGCTTCTACTCTTGTTTGACTTCCTCAGTTTCGATATCTCCCTTTTTTACTCATTCTTGTTGGAAAAAATGGAGAAATAGATAGTTGTGATTTCCTTTTTCTTTTGTGCAGCTAGATAAGTTGGCAGGGAGATTGGCATAAGTTGAAATGCTGAGTCATAACGGGGAGAGACAGATTAGTTTAATCTCTGCATTCAATACAACTTTTGTTTAGTTGGCAATGGAGTTTAATGAAAATTGTTTATTTGTTGGGATACAAAGTATTAGTGGGAAATAATAATTTATAATGAATGGTACTTTTGATATTCTGCAAGACGTGAAGGGTTACATAGGTAATTTAGGCTAACATGACTTAAGAACCATAACTTTATTCGTCTTCCATTTGGTAAGAGTGCTTTGGAGTTCAAATTCAGCCATAAATAAAGCACAACTAGCAAAACTAGAGAACCAAAATCACAGTTGGGACAGTTTGATGAAACCTCGGTACTCAGTGAATCGTGGTCCAGTCTACTTGAAATTTGGAGACATTTGCACAACACATTAGTCTTCAATTTTTTACGATTACAATCGTTCATTTATGTGATATTTCCATCTAAATAGTGACATAATTTAGTGAAATTTTTCCTCTTTGTTGACGGTCTTGAGATGTATTTTCAAGAGTAAAAATTTGGAGGTAAGTCATAGTTGTATGTTTCTAATTTTATGCTTGGAAAAAGGTCTTCTTGTTTTATCTGAAAATTCAATCTCAGCTAGATGATGAGACGTTAGTGTGCAGGGATATGATGTTGTTTTGAGCCTATATTATTAATTGTATCTTTTTGGAAAGTAACAATAAAAATTTCAAGTCGGCTAGATATTGATATAGTCTTGGTTTATAAGTGAAAAGAGTGAAAATTTGTCTCTCTCTTGTTGTTTAAATAACGTAATAAACTCTATCTAAACATGTTATTGCATGGTGATAATAAACGCAACCCGCACAAGGTTTATTTTACGTGGAAAAACCTTTGTCAACCAAAGGGTAAAAATCAACCATGGGAATTCAGTGCTCTCTTTGATCAATACTATCAAGAACGTGAAATTTTGGCACACCAGCAATAAATCACTACATTAATGAAGCCCCGTTTGGCCTCCATTAAACTTTATTTTATTACATTTCATTTTTCTCTCTTATATTTTTAACTATACAATCTTCCATAAAATAATATTACACATAAATTGAAAAATTTTCCTTCTTTTTCAACCACTTATTTTAAAAAAAAAAATACTATTTCACTCATTTTGATTTCCAAAAAATTGGAGCCAAACGGGCTAAAAGAGAGGATGAGTCCATCACTGTTCATTCATGAGGCCTCCGTTTCACACCTATCCAGATTCTACTGATCAAGAACGGGTTTTCTACTGTTCATTAAATATATTCTTTTGTGAAAGGTTTAACGATTCACTTCTCTCACGCATTTCAATCTTTTACTGCTTCCCTTCTCTTTCCCTTACCCTTTTTCTCTCATGGCTGAGGAAAAATTATTGTTTCAAACACCCAGGACGAAGAAATGGAACTCGAAAGTGTAACTGGTTCGTACTGCTTATTAGGGCCAAAACATTCTCTCCACCTTTTTCGTAGATATTTCTTATTACTTTTGTATTCATTTCTCACGCAAACCCTTGCAGTGTTTTCTCCATTTTTCCTTTGATATTTTTCTATCTTCAATCTTCCAAAGCTATTTGTAGGCCGTCATCCCTGAATCTCCCTCTTCCAGATAAATCGAATATAGTTACACAGAAGGCCTCACTTATTCCATGGCTCGACCCGCGCAGGAAGAGGCGTTTCCTCTATTCACTTCGACAAAGAACCATGGTGATTCGGCTGTAAAGTTGTCGTCCTTGAAGCAAGTGACGGACATACTACTATCTTTACAGCCTTCTCACGACGCAGAGCTCTTTCTGTACTCAATTGAGCTTCAGACTTCCCCAGACATGCTCGTGCGTAAAAAAA